GTGAGTGCTAGTTATCCATGGATAATCATTTCTCACCGATACACAATTTTGGATGCAACTGTTTACGTCCGAACATCATTAATCCGATCAATGATATGTATTACTCTCTCTTCTTGAGCTTAGTTTTATGTGTGACCATTTTGGTTCACTGTAATCTAGCTGTGGGCCCAATATCAGATTCTGATATGTTTCATTGTAACTCTTTATCATCGAAACTCTCACTGATTATGATAGACATCTAGCAATATTCCATAACCCCTAAACCACAATGAAGTGTAAACTCCAATGAACCTATTCTGATCGTACGTACCGTGTAGTAAAATCCATTCATTATCTAATCCCGATTAAGAATGATTTATGGTATGTCAAAACCCTTAACTTAATCTTTAATCGAATTGTCAATCGATACAATAGAACGCGTCAACATGAAACTACTTTTCATCTGACATTCATTATACTCTGGGCATATATTTCCTTTTTCCAATGTTTATTGACATTCGTCTAGGAACTCGAGATTGGACTATTTTGAGTTAACGAATCCCATCTTGACCATCAATTGTCCTCACATATGAATAACATATGACCAAACCGACTTATTACACAAGATATGACTAGTCTCGTGCTTATACACCATATGAACCATATGCATCCTATGTTGAATTCAACAGTGATGTCTCAGGTCTAAGGATCAGTGGTACACTAGCACGATCCTACGGTGCATCATTGACCACGTCCATGTGATTCATCGTAATCAGTTATTTTCAATAAATAGTTCACTAACCGTTTATCCATGCTAATGTCTTAGTGACATACCTCTTATAATCACCCACACTAATACCATCATATGATATTCAATGGAGACATTCAGCATGCCTACTATGTAATGTTATTGTCCAATTAACATTACTTGCGTAGGGAATTCTTCGATGATCTGATTTTCTGAATATCCGTGTCATCCGAACATTTCACATGCAATATTAGTTATAATATAAATGAAGCAGTAAATCAACATGTGAAATAAGAACACTTTCTTTTATTCATAATACATTTACAAGATATAATGTCCTTAAACTGACAACACGATTGGTTCCTAGGCATACACTAACATGAAGTAGGTAGATACTTTAGGCCGAGATGTAGCCAACAAAAGGAACATCCTATTTGAAGTCATTTCAACCTCCATAATCAAGCCACTCTTAGGATGACTTTGCACTTTCCATGTTTCATCAGCAGTTAGAGTCATTTCTCTTGTAATTGCCTAACACTTAGTAAATTATTCTTCAGTTTAGGTACATAAAACACTTCAATGATAATCTAAGAAATTCCATGCACTTCTATTCTCACATTTCCTTTTCCTATCACATTCTAGCTTGAATTGTTTCTGAACTTTATAGAGGCCCTGAAGTTTTCGCCAAAGTCTAAGAACAAAGCCTTGTTGCCAAACATGTGGTTACTCCTGAATCGAAAAACCACACATCTTCTCTCCAAGCTTTATGGACATCCACTTGGACATCCACTTAAGACATCAACAACATCTTATCTTCAATCCCTGCATAGTTAGTCTTCTCCTCCTTGCTAGAACATTCATATTGAAAATGTCCTAGCTTATGGCAATTGTAACACTCCATGGTGGACTTGTCAAAGTTTTGTCTACTTCTTCCTCTTCCTCTAAAACCTTATTGACCTTGAATCCTCCCGCTAGAATGATCTTCAAAAGTGATCTTCAAATTCCTCTATAACATGGCCATTCATGCGTTGCTCATGCACAAGAAGGTTGTTTTGTAACTCACCAATAGACAAAGTGTCTAGATCATTAGACTCCTCAATAGAACACACAACATAATCAAATTTGGGAGTCATAGATCTCAATTTTTTTCAATGACTACAACATCCCTTATTGTCTCACCATGTATTCTCATCTTGTTACCTATGGGGAGCGTACGAGCAAAATACTCATTTACAGATTCTTCCTGCGGTCATGTGAAAAACTTCAGACTCCTTTCGAAGAGCTTGTTAATTGTGCACGCTTGACTCATGTCATGCCTTGGTGTTTTTTCTTCAAAGAACCTCAGATGTTCTTTGATGCGTCTTTATTTAGGATAGTCTCCATAATCGACCAATAGTTGCTTAAAAAAGATAATTCTTAACTTTCAAGTCTTTCAACTTCTGATCTTCAATTACTTTGTGCTTTCATGAGATCAACTCCTTCTGTTGCTACAGGGATCCCATTCTCCACCAGGCTCCAATATTCCTTTGAACGTAGGAAGTTTTCCATGAGCATAGACCAATGATCATAGTGCCCATCAAACTTAAGAAATGTTGGTTGTACAAAGCTGCTTTCTGTCGCCACATTCTTTCTACTACTCACTCAGAAGACTGTTGCTTCTCAAATTTAAATGGCTCTGGTACCAGATGTTAAGAACTGAATATCTTATGTAAAGTATGCAAGAGTTGAGTGAATTTATCTTATTTAATTAAACAAAATAAGTTGACCTTTAAATAGTCTGACAAAGAAACTGAAAATAGAAGACTTCAACCCAGGCTTAACAAGTCCTAATTACGTGGTAACTAATTAAGGAATAGATCAAATAAACAATCATTTCCCTAAACAATAGAGATTATTAAACAATAACAACCTACCAAGTCAAACTCTAATAACTTAACAATTACATACTTTTTTTTTTCTTTCGTTAACCTAGTAGTAAAGATTTATATATCATCAAATATTTCGTCTTTCTAGCCATATTATATATCATTGCAATAAAGTTGCGTTTGGTTCGAGGTGATATAAGATTAATCCTGTAATCTTTGTTTAATTTTCAAGATTCCTTCATTTGGTTATCATGTAATAAAATATTACGTAATCTTTAATTGCAAATAGTGTTTACTATTGGTAATATTGGGGGTGATTAGATTATTTTCCCAAGGGGTATTAATATAAGATTACCTAGGTAATCTTAATTTTGACCTTATTTTGCCCTTAATCTTTTGTCATTTCGAATACATTTTGCCCTCATATGTCTACTAAATAACAATTACCCCAAACCCCATACATTTGAGAATTTGGCTAAAACACCCCTACTACAAAAAGTTTAAAAGTTAATAAAATACCCCCAACCACCCAAGACCACCGATGGCCACTAGCCACCACCGTTGGGCACTGGCGAAAGTCGTCATATCGGCATAAGACTGACGAGATCTTGTCGGTCGTGTGCCGATAATGATGTTTCCGGCCATGGATTTGTGATCCATGGTTGGAAACAACCAGATTTGACCATTCCACGGCTAGATCTTTGGTCGTGAAACGACCATATTCGCGGCCAGATCTAACTGTTTTTGGTGCCAAATTATTGCCGGCGGTTGTGGCTAGCTGCCAACGGTGGCTTGGGGTGGGTGGGGGTGATTTTGTTACAAATTAAAGTTTTATATGATTGGAGTGTTTTAGCAAAATTTCAAATATAAGGGGTTAAAAAAAACAATTTAAAAAATAATAGAATAAAATAATATTATATTATTATTTAAAAAGGAGGGCAATTTAGTAATTTATATAACATACCCACTCATTTATCCTTCCAACAAAACATATTATTATAACATACCCACCAATTTATTCCAATCAACCAATCAATCAAATACATTTCTCTAAAGATTCCCTAATAATCTATCTTTCTAGTAATATAACATTCCTTAGTAATATAACCTTCTCTGAACCAAACGCATCCTAAAGGAGCAAAAATGTAGAACAATATTTATTAGATAAATACTACTTATTGACTTATTCTATGTTTATTACCCTTCCTTAATTTTGAAAACAGTGAACAATTATTTTTTAAGTTAAGGGTAATAAACATGGAATAAGTCAATAAGTAGCAATGTTCTGAAACCCGGACCGGACCGGGCGGTCGAACCGGTCCGACCGGGTTTCGCTGAGATTTCCGGTTTAAAAAATGTAAAAACCCGGATTTTTAAATTAGATCGTTTTAAATCGCGGTTGGACCGTCTTACTGTAACAAACCGACGGTCCAACCGGTTTAAGAAACAAATCCGGTCCACTAAGTAAAATTTAAAAATGTGAAAAAAATTTAAAAAGTTAAAGTCAAACGGTCAAACCCCCATTTTTTTAATCCATTTCTATTTCTTTTGCAGATTAGCTGTCTGCCACTTTACTAAATTGAAATTTGCGTTTGCTTTTTGGTTTGCTTTTTCAGTTTTCTTTTTGGTTTGCCTTTGCCATTCGTGATCTCTACTCTCCAGTCCCCTCCTCCTCCTTCATTCACGATCTCGGATCTCCTTCAAGCTTCAGCTTCAGCCTTCAAGTCTTCACTCTTCAAGTCTTCAACCTCTTCAATCATCGCGATCTCCTCCTCTTCAATAACCTCTTCAGGCTCCAGTCCAGTCCTCCTCCATTCGCAATCTCCTTCAATTTTCAGCTTCAGCCTTCAAGTCTTCAACCTCTTCAATCATCGCTCGTCTGCTACTCTGCTTCTTCCTTGCCGTGGCTGGTCTACTACACTACAGTCGTGATATTATTTTGTAATGCCTTTGATGATGTTTGAAACTTTAGACTTTGAGGATTGAATTTGTAAACATTAAGTCATTAACTATCAAATTTGGATGGTTTTATTATTATTATTGTAGAGTTGGTTGGACGGGTTTTAGATTTTCGTTACATAAAAATCTGGATTTTTAAATTTTTTTACTTTTTATCGTGTTTTGCTGATGTCAGCGGTCCGACCGACCGGTCGGACCGGTCCAACCGTGAAAACCGGAAACCGGGCCTCTGGCCGAGTCGACTCCCGATCCGGTTTTCAGAACATTGATAAGTAGTACTATTCTAAAATACAGGGTAATTTTTTCTTTTTATTTGATCTCTTTAAGTAATTTGATTATTTTTCAAAAAGTGGGTTATTATTTTTAAAATTTGGTCATTTTTGTGAATAACGACCAATTTTATGCTGCTCGTACGAAGTGGTCATAATGAATAATGCCAATGTGTTCACTGTTACGATAGCTATTAGCACAGAGTTGAGAGTAGGAACTAGGAAGAGGAATCACGAATGGCTCAGTTCTGGAAACCTGGCACCGAGAAGCCTCGCCTCCTCGACGACGAAGAAGGCGGCGTCCTTTTCTTGTCATCTTCTCTCTCTTCCTCTTCCTCCGGGTATGTTTTTTCCTCATTTATTAAATATTTGTATTTCTTACTCAATTTCATACTTAAAGGTACGCCCATTTAATATGCCTTTTTCTACTTATATTTGTGTTTTTTCTTAGATATGGGCATGCGAGTATTGAGAAACAGAGGCAGAGATTGCCAGTGTACAAATACCGTACCGCTCTTCTTTATTTGGTGGAGACACATGCTACTACTATCGTTGTTGGCGAGACTGGAAGTGGCAAAACCACTCAGATTCCCCAGGTTATTTCGCTTTTTAAGTTTCATTTTGCTTCTTCTTTTCTTGGGCTTTGTTTGGTGGTTGGTTATGATGAGATAATTTGAGAGAAAAGGTTTTTTTGCTGCTTTATTAGTCTTAGTTTTGGTAACAATCTAGTGGATTATTTTGTTAATTGCTTACATGATTTTAATTGTATAATTAGAGATTATGTAGTTATATTTTGTTGCTGAGCAGTCAAGGCAAATGAAAGAAAATAGACCATCTAGCTTCCTGTTTTATATGTTTTCAGTTTGTTTTTGTAGATTTGTCACGTTGGCAAGTTAATTGACAACCAAACACAGCCTTGGTGTGGGTTTGATTATCCCTTTAGAGATTTGGTTAATTCGGCTGTGTTTGATGAATAGACAAATGTGATAGATATTATTGAATATATGTGTAATGGTTCAGGAAATTCTCATTTTCAATTCTATACAATTGCGAAGCAGAATGAATGATTTAATATCCGTTAAATGACCAAGATGAGCGTAATATCTTTTAATAACTGTCATTTTGGAAATGTTTTCTCTTCGTGGTTTCTACATTGGTTGGGGCTACTGAGATTCTTTTTTAAATTTTGAATCGTGATTGTTGTATGATGGTATTACAGTACCTTAAAGAAGCAGGCTGGGCTGATGGTGGTCGTGTTATTGCTTGCACTCAACCAAGACGATTGGCTGTCCAGGTAATATATCAGCTTTGTTAGTCATTTTTCTTTAGTGATTTGTGATTTTCACTATTTGTGCTTGGAGTTATTTCTTAGTAGCATCATATTTGACTCATGTAAGAGCTCATTTTTGCACAGCAATTGGTTGATGTTTGTTCTTGTTCTTGTGAAGTTCGATGTTTAAATGAAATAACCTTCACATTTTTACTGTCTCATGGCCAGCAGACCCTTTAAATGCCTTTGTGTGTACATGAATAAGAAATGTTCTTCGAGAGCCATGTGTAAGTTCATATGCACATAATCTAAGCTAATGACTTCATAAAACTACCTGCTAAATTAAAATTGGCTTTGCCTTGGCATAGCTTTGGCAGAGAACCTTTTCAGGCTTTCAGTTTGTGACATCTATATTGGATATCAATTAGAATTTTCAAATATTTTTTATCTAGCTCTATTACATACTTCATGTGCAGAGGCATTCTCATAGTTGGAGCATGTACTTGGCATATCTAGCTTAATAAATGATTTGGCTTTTGAGACGGACAAATAGGGTGATAATATATTCATAATTTTACTATGAGAAGAAAAAGCACTTTCATTAACTACTAGCTCTTTGTTTTAAGCATAGAGGAGACATGTTTTCATAATTAATTTACTATTATTATGCTTTGCTTCAATTGTTGAGAGATTACAAAGCTGAATGCGTTAGGTAATGCGTTATTGTCTTAGTTTAACCTGAGGTATTCAAGGTATCATTGTAAACTGTACTGAGCAATCTCTAGCATGGCCATGAGTAAACAATTGGGATTATTTGAAATTCTTGAAAATCACTCCAGTTCTTAGGTTTTGCTGGATTAAATTAGATTGACTGGTTTTAAAATGCTGAGCATCATTCACTTAACTGATAACTTCGCATGAATCGTTCATGATGCAGTATTATATTTAGGGTGGTATATTTTTGGTTGTGATTCTTCAATTTTTCTTTTTTTTTTTTTAAATCCCAGATGCCTAAGTATGATTTTCATACTAAGTATTGCCTGTTATTATTAGAATGCCTAAATATTTTTTGTACTAATATTCAGTGGTAGTAATGTGCAGGCAGTTGCTTCAAGAGTGGCAGAAGAGATGGGGGTCAAGGTTGGGGAGGAAGTTGGTTACACAATTCGATTTGAAGATTTGACAAAAAAAGTGAGAGATCTTATCATCTTTCTTCTTCTGTTTAAGCTCTTTACTATCATCTTATTAGACTATTTCCTTGCTTTTGTAACTTTATACTAATTACAGATGCCATAACTGAGCATCAGCATAATCACTTGAAAATTTCTTTGACATTATTTATTATGATAATCTATGTTATGAATGCTGGGACTTCCTCTTTTGGCAGTGCAGGGTGTAACTATGATAAAGTTTCTGACCGATGGGGTGTTACTCAGAGAAATGATGGATGATCCTCTTTTGACTAAATACAGGTACTAGTTATCACTGCAGCGATTCTTTTAGTACCTTCCTTTTGCTGAAGCATATGCTTTAATTTTTTTTTTTTCCCCTCAAAGTATAGCTGCAGAAACTCATGGTTTTAACAATAACTTCCCAGAATACTGTATTATTTGAAAATGATAGACAATTTGGTGTATTGGTCATTGAAGTACAAAAGCATATTCTGAAATTGGAAAACTAGAAATGCACTTTTATTGACATTTGATATAACTGTTGGTTCGTAAGTACCAAAACTCTTATCTGTACCTTCCTTTTTGCAATTTTACATTTTAGATTTGGCATATTATTTTGTTTTATCAGAATTTTAAATTTTGTAAGTTGTTTTTCTTATTGTTATGTAATATGATTTTTGTTTGTTTAATGTTTCTTCATGTGACCATCTCAGTGTCATAATGGTGGATGAGGCTCATGAAAGGTCTATTTCAACTGACATTTTACTAGGCCTCTTGAAAAAGGTATCAATTGTAGCTGCCAAGGATATACAAGTGTTGGCATAAGAAATTAAAAGTCATTATTTTTTGCATTGTCTTCATTTATGCTTGTTAATTATTGAGATTTCAGATCCAACGGCGTCGACCACAGCTACGTCTTATCATCTCATCTGCTACAATTGAAGCAAAATCAATGTCTTCTTTCTTTCAGGCGAGGTTATCATCTGAGCTTTGCACTTGGGTTTTATTTTTTCTTGACACGCCGTAATTTTGTTATAGAAACTCTAGGAACCTCATTAACTGCATGAGAAATTCATTCACGTTGAGTAAAAGAACTTCTGAGCTTGAAAATAATCAACATCCATTTATCAAAATCATTCATAGTCTGCTACAGGATTTGGACTTAGTTTATGGCATTATGTAGTGTAAACTTAAAAAGTCTATGTTGTCAGAATGAGAAATTTAATATTCTGGTCTCATTGGTTCACAGTGTGTTTCAAGATGAAACAAATCAGGACCTGTTGACAGAATTGACAAATTTTCCTCTGCAGTGTTTTTCTATGCAATGTGTAGTTTACTTAGCATAATGTCACGCACTTAACTTCTTTGCTAAATTCGTGCGGCCTTAACACTTCGAAAATGTGTTAAGTAGCCTAACACTCACAAAAACTCAAAGACTAATAGTATGCAAGTGAGAAGGATAAGTGTAGAGAAAATGTAAACTCTATATTGAAGGATTACAACTTATGAACTTTACAAAGGGGAGTGGCCTATTTATAGGCTAAACCTCCTCAAGGAATATGACTAGATACGATGTATACTTAATCCTTAAGTAACACTTGGTGGCAACCTTAAGTGACAACTTTGGGAATGAGGAAGTTTAGTCATAAAGTTAACTTAGCCACTAAGTATGCTTAACCTTGAAGTTAACTTAACCAATAAGCAATGTGCAGCGTACTTGTGTCGCCAAGCAAACTGGGCATGACGTTGTCCCACACCTAATGATGCGACGCCCTCTCGCATTATCATTGTAGCGCAGGATTGAGTCTTGGAATTGTCATAATGAGTCTTTGATCTCCCAACTGGCTTCGGCATCGGGAAGTACCTTCCATTTGATTAAGTAGTCCCGGTAATTTGGCACACCACGTCGGCGAATGACTCTATCAGCAAGTATTTCTGCAACCTACTTGTCAAGTTACAACGGCTGTTGGTGCTCGTTTAGAGACTCCTTGGGATGGCTCCTCTGGGTCTTCATGGAATGGCTTTAGCAAGCTTGCATGAAAAACTGGGTGTATCTTCAGTTTCGGAGGAAGTTGGAGTCGATACGAAACTTTGCCGACGCGTTGTATTACTGGAAATGGCCCTTCATATTTGCGCACTAGGCTTTTGTGCACCTTTCTTAGTGTCTTGAATTGTTGGGGCAGTAGCTTTACAAGGACAAGATCACCTTCTTGGAACTCAACGTGTCTCTTTTTCTTGTTGGCCCACTTTTTCATTCTTTTTACTGCTTTATGTAGAACTGCATGAGCAAGTTCAATTTGTTCGTGTCATGACTTGGCTAACTTGAAGGCTGCGGGGCTCTTCCCATCATAGTGTGTGGCTAGGGAAAGAGGTGTGTTTGGCTGTCGTCCCATGATGATCTCGAAGGGACTCTTGTTGGTTGCCTCACTCCACTGCAAGTTGAATGAGAATTGGGCTATGTCAAGGAGTTTTGCCCAATCCCGTTGGCTAGCACTCACATAGTGCCTCAAATATAGCTCTAACAGTGCATTGGCAAAGTTTCGTATTGACTCCAACTTCCTCCGAAATTGAAGATACACCCAGTTTTTCATGTAAGCTTGCTAAAGCCATTCTATGAAGACCCGGAGGAGCCATCACGAGGAGTCTCTAAACGAGCACTAACAGCCGTTGTAACATCCTTTGACCAGGAGGTTGAAGAAATACTTGTTGATAGAGTTATTCGCTGACGTGGTGTGCCAAATTACCGGGAATGCTTCATCAAATGGAAGGGACTTCCCGATGCCGAAGCCAGTTGGGAGACCGAAGACTCATTATGGTAATTCCAAGACTCAATCCTACGCTAAAAGGATAATGCGACGAGGGCATCGCATTATTAGGTGTGAGAGAATGTCACGACCAGTTTGCTTGGCGACGCAAGTATGCTGCACATTGCTTAATGGTTAAGTTAACTTCAAGGTTAAGCATACTTAGTGACTAAGTTAACTTCATGACTAAGCTTCCTCATTCCCAAAGTTGCCACCTAGTATTACTTAAGGATTAAGTATACATTGTATCTAGTCATACCTTGAGGAGGTTTAGTCTATAAATAGGCCACTCCCCTTCGTAAAGTTCATAAGTTGTAATCCTTCAATAGAGTTTACATTTTCTCTACACTTATCCTTCTCACTTGCATACTATTAGTCTTTGAGTTTGTGTGAGTGTTAGGCTGCTTAGCACATTTTCGAAGTGTTAAGGCCGCATGAATTTAGTAAAGAAGTTAAGTGCGTGAATGGTTGGGAAATCTAAACCTATTAGTAAGCCCAGTCCCCGAAACAGGGCATTTTTTCTAGCTACACTTGCCTCTCACTGGCTGGTCAAACTGTTGGACGAGCTGGACGCCTTAAAGCCATTCCTATCTTAGACTTTTGGGCATCACTTTCGGGGATGCAAAATTTTATTTAGTCCTGCCTAATTCCTATCTTCGCTTCTCGGGAACAACAAAAACCACCATCTCGCTCTTTCCTTTCTTCGGTGCTACCTTTTTCTTTCTAAGAGATGGGGTTGGGAATAACCTTTTTTTTGAGGATGCCAGGGAACAACTCCTAGGTCAATTAAGGATCAAATGTTGGAACCTCATGGGTAAGGATAAGGTAATGGAATTGATAGATAAATTCATAAACCTAGGTGGGATAGGAGAATTGATAAAGGGAATAGAGATGATGATAGAGATCATACTTGTCACACACTTAACTTCTTTACTAAATTCGTGCGGTCTTAACACTTTGAAAATGTTTTAAGCAGCCTAACACTCACACAAACTCAAAGACTAATAGTATGCAAGTGAGAAGGATAAGTGTAGAGAAAATGTAAACTCTATTGAAGGATTACAACTTATGAACTTTACAAAGGGGAGTGGCCTATTTATAGGCTAAACCTCCTCAAGGAATATGACTAGATACAATGTATACTTAATCCTTAAGTAATACTAGGTGGCAACCTTAGGTGACAACTTTGGGAATGAGGAAGCTTAGTCATGAAGTTAACTTAGCCACTAAGTATGCTTAACCTTGAAGTTAACTTAACCATTAAGCAGCGTACTTGCGTCGCCAAGCAAATTGGTCGTGACAATAAGCATAAAAAGTCTGCGCATGTAGAAAATGTTTAATGTTTCTAGCCTTGGCACTTTGAAATCTTTAAATAAATTACAAGTTTAAATTTCAAAAAAGTTTGATATCCATGAAAATAATTGTTCTTAGCGTCTGTAGGCATCTGATTTACCTCAATTTATCGATGTTTTTATTTTCACTATTTTTTCTGTCATTGGTGTTTGATTATTGCAAATGACTTGACATTTATGGAGGTTGAGAATTGGAAATGGGTGTTTCATTTTGTAATGTAGTCTTTTTCTGCTTATGTATTCTTAACCTGACTGAAATTCTAGTGATTGCTAGCTCTGATGTTTTGTTACATGTTGTCAGTGATATTACTCAATTGTCTTATGGTATAGCGAGTTATCCTCCAGGTTCCTCAACTAACTGAGAATGTTAATATAACTTCTCAGGTTAACTCTTTTCCCTCTTTTCCCAAGGAAGAAAAGATTTGCCCATTTGAACAGCATACATGATTGCCAATGAAATCTGTTTGGGTAACAACAGATATCTGCGCAAGAATTTTTTTGTTAGTAGTTTTCACTTTATTTTTCTGCTAGTCGTGTAAATCAGTGGAAAAGATGATAGTATTCCATTGGTAATGGTATGCTAGGGTGATGGTTAACAGAGAGAGTTCAATTTGATGGGAGAAATTTACTTTTAAACTTCAATTTTGGTGCTATTGGAATGAAAGATCTTTTGATTGAAAATGCAGCTAGAGAAACTATTGAAATTGAAAATCACTGAAGGACAAGGAATGAAGGAAATCGAAAACCAATATTTTCAAATTTGTTAAGCGNAAATGTTAAAGATCAAAACAACGGCACCAGATCACAACCAATATATTTTGTAACTAAAGAAAATATTATAATCCGTCATCAAGAATCAAGAAGAATCTACTTACCAGCATGTATTCCCGCTTTTCCTCAGTCATCTCGATTCCCTTTAGGGCTTCCAATGCTCTCAATACACGCTGAGAATCATCGTTGGTTCTGGCGTGGTCTTCGCGAGTTTCTCTTAGACTTCGAAGGAGCTCCACATCTCCCCCTTCAGGTTGGTTGTTGTTAACCGGCAGTGATGAGTTCTGTTCATCCATATCTTCTAAGGCAAGTAAAACAAAAGAAGATTCTTATAAATTTCAAGAAAACCAGCAAGATTCTTAAAAACTCTGTAGTCTGTTCTTAGTTCTTAAAGCTGCCTAACGGTTTATGGGTTCTTAAAGCTGCCTAACGGTTTATGGGCGGGAGAAACTTGAACCATATAATATAGCCTTGCGTCTTCACAAAAATGATACCACGTCGTTTTATTTCTTACCCAAAAGCGCTATTTTTTTTTTTTTTTTCGATAATTTGCTGACTTTAATCTCCCTTACTTGCAATGTTAATATTGATTTGTTAATGAGTTAGTGAATTAATTTTATTCTGTTTTTTAGGTTTGAGTATTATGCATGGGGGCTGCACCAAATTGCTAAAGCCGTTAGCTTCCTGAATAATGATTGTAAACTTGTAAGTGATATGAGTAAAATTTGCGGGAATATTTATAAATCTAGTTTAATTCTTCTTTTTCAATCTCTTCATGATCTGCAATCTCAGTTTTTTATTACTCTTTGGGATCTACAGGTTCATGGTAACGTGTGCCTGACCAGTGTTGTTGTTGCACAAACTTTGGATTGGAAGCTGCTTGCTTTTGATGTTTTGTCAGAGTTTGAAGGGAATCATGAAGCTGCCACTGGAGCAATGCCGGTAATCTTTGTATTTGGTTTGAAAAACAACCTGCAATTGCATTTTTTGTTTTCATAAAACCTCTGAAATGACGTGCATTATTACTAAAAACTCAAGCAGCATATATAATTTGATAATTCGATGGACTCCTTTAAGAGGGCAAATCTATTGTCAACGGA